TTTTCTCCCCAGACTTTGTGGTCTAGTTTCTGAAATGGAGCTGATGCATTGGGAGCTTTCCATTGCTCCTGCCTTCATTTCTGAATTTCCTGCAAATCAAAGTTCCTGCAAACTGTGGGCAGTTTGCGATCGTTCTCTGCCTTATCAGTTTATGTTTTTCCCTCTGTGTTATTGATGTGGGTGAGTACATTGATAAAACAGTGCAAAATATTATTGATGTGTGACTGAACATGTGATCACAGGAGTGCTTGTGCATACTGGTAAAACACTTAACAAAAAGACTCTTAAGGCAATTACTTAATCACATAAAGATTGCTTTTTACAGCTTTTTAAAGATCAGTGTAGACATGCACACCAATAAGGCAGAGGAGGGAAAGATGCAACTGAACTGAAGGAACTAAATACAGCAGCAAACTGTACATTCTGGAATTAATTTTAGAAGTTTTCCTTTTTAAAATGGAATTTGGGAGGAATGAAAAAGAAACCTGGCAATTTTTTCCAGTGGGAGGGTCTGTGTGGTTCACTGGCTGAATCTGTGCAGAAGGTCCCAGGTTTTATCCCTAGGACCTTGGGTAGCAGGTATCAGGAAGGTAATTTCTGTGTTTGTGAGCCGCTGCCAGTCAGAGTAAACAATACTGATCTAAAGAGAGTGACAGTCTAAATATGGTCAACCCCCCTCCCTCTGTTCATCCATTCATCCCTCATAACCCATCTTTCTTTCTCTCTTTCTTTGACTAGATAAGTTGATGGACCTGTCCATATGCTTGATTTATTTTAAAAATGATGTTCACAGGTGGGCTTTGCAAATGATCTGGTTTTTCCTCAGTGATGGGTTCAAACAAGACACTGTATGAGCAGTAAGTCCCACCTGGGAGTTCTTTTGCCTCCACAGCAGTGGTTGTGGCAGAACCACCCCACTGACATTAGATCTTTGCTCCATTTAGTCCTCTGAGGTGTGTAGGCAACCATCTAGAGTCTCTGCCTGGTAACACAATAATCTTGCTCGTCCAGTCCTTGGAGGGGTTTCTCTCTCACTTTTCCTTCTGTACATTTCCACCAACTGATCATTTTAGGAAATGCCTGCCAAGAGTGCTGTACTTGCCCAGCCCTCCCAGGAAGCAAGTATCACAGCAAGGATGGAAAGACAGACAGAGTATTCAAAGTCAGCCCAAAGTCAGGGGTTCCAAAGAGCAGGTTTAACAAAGCCCAGTCTAGGGTCAAGGAGTTCTAGGTAGCAAGTCCAAGTTCAGTCCAAGGTCAGGGTTTCCAGAATAGCCAGTTGTCAGGTCCAGTCCAAGTGTCAAGAGGTCCAGTAACAACAAGGTTGGTGATTCAGTAGCAAAGTGTACTTGTGACATCGACCAACTGCTGTTTCTCCTGGCTGACTTTATAGCCAAGTCTTAACAAGTTATACACCCAGCCAATTCCTTGGCAGACATCCTGAAACTACTTATCCATCTCATCAGTTGACAGCTGACAACAGGCCATGAGTCTCACCCTCCTCCTCCTCTCCTGCAACTCAGCTCGCCTCTGACAGCATCTGTGCTGCAGGGGTGTGGGTGAACTAGGTGGGCTGGAAGTGGCTTCTGAAGCCTTGTTTACTGCTTCAGAGTAACAAGACATTGGTTCAGTTTCAGCTGTAGTCTGTGATTTCTGCTCAGCCGGTAACCTGACCTCCTATTGCTCTTCTCCTGGCTCAGAGCCAGCTGCAGCCGGTTGTTCAGTTACTGGCTGAGGGCCAGCTGCAGGTAGCTCTTCGTTTGTGGAATGTGTACTGTCACTGAGCACAGACTGCCTTATGACAAGGGCCAGTCCTCTCTCTCTCTCTCTCTCTGCAATGGATTGAGCAAAGAATACAGAAGAAAGCTGCAAGCATACAGTTCCTCTGACCCTCATGCTATATATGCCCTAGGTGATCTTAGTCTAAGGCAGGCTCTTTTAATTTAGAATCTACTGTGTTTTGAAAGGCCCCATTATATTGAAGGCTTCATCCAGGTTGCCGGCTCTTTGTCTGCTCCCCATGGCAAAGGCAGCCATCAAGAGGGCGGAGCCTAGCGCTACATGGTAGACGCATAAGTGAGGAGCTCCCGACTTCAACCCCCTAACTTCTACTGGAAATCACCTTAAAAATCTTGATGCCAAAAAAAGGGACGTATGCCCAGCTTGGGAAACAACCAGCTACCTACAAGAGAAAGAAAAACTCTGTTACGAACTTTTTTCATCTCCAAAATCGACGGATCGCTCTGACTCAGAGCAAACGATGGCAGACAAAATGGCACCCGAAAGACCGGTGGAGGTAAACCCTGATGAAGCAGACTTGGGCCCGCTAACGGGGCGCGATCTAAAGGAACTCAGAGAAGACATCCTGCAATCTATGACGGCAATAGTACAAGACCTGATACTGCCTGTTCAAAACTCTATAAAGAACATGGTCCAGGAAATAAAGGAGATTGCGAAAACAGCGGATACAGCAGCTGAACTAGCGACCACAATGCAGGAAGAGGTACGTTCATTCCAATCCTTTGAGCAATCTACCTTAAACAGGCTAACAATTCTTGAGAACAAATGGAGGCAATCGAACCTCAAATTTCGCGATCTAAATGAAGGCGAAGAGGCAAAAAGCGACCTACCCTCCCTAAAGTCAGAATGGCTCGCAGAAGTTTTGAACATGGGGGAAGGGAAAAAACCGGCATTAGTAAAAGCTTTCAGACTAGGTGCAATGGCGACGAGCTGCAGAGACAGACCAAGAGACGTTTTGGTTCAATTTATGTACCAATCAACAAGGGGCAAGATCCTCAAGACTGCACGAAATAATGCCGGCTTAAAATATAAAGACCAAAAAATTATAGTGCTACTTGACTTGTCACCGGAAGCCCTAGAGAAAAGGAAAAATCTCAAAATCATCACCACCAAGCTGAATGCAGCTAAGATACATTTTCGTTGGAGCCCAGGATCGGACGTCGTGGTGTACAAAAACGGATTACAATACCAGGCATCGGACAAGTTCACAGGTAGAGCCCTGTTGACGGCGCTATCAGTGAAATTATCACCAGAAGACGACCAAGAACTAGCAGAAGAGTAAGACCTTCAATCAACGGACTCTTACGAAATATAATGGTAAAATTAACCCAAGAGATAGACACTGCAGATTTAAAAGTGTCTATAGGGTTGAGCCTAAAAGGATTTGATATTGGCTAAAATACACCATTTATAAGCAATGCTTTATGTAATTTTGGTTTAAAGAGAAACCCTCTGCTAGTACAACAATTCATATTAAGGTCTAAAATTTGTTTATATATATATAAGAGAAGGATGACTCTTCTATCAAGTCTAACTATAAAGGTGAAAGCTAGAACCTTTAACTTATATTTGATGACCTAACAACTGATTTTTGAAACTAGATGGGAAAACATCATTTAGACAGGGTAAAACCATAACAGGACGAATTTTCTACTTTCTTGTTTGAGACAATATGTTATGCTTAATGGCTAGTAAATGGCTAAAGTTTAAACACATATATGAGTGTAACTTTGCGTCTCTAAGGCAAACCTACATATACATAACTTTTGTAAAGTTGCCAATCTACAGTATTGCTTTACCTATGACAAACTCTTGCTAGATATTTATTTTATATTCTAGTGAAAATATATATGAAAGGTGAAATCTTCTTTAAGTAAATTATTCATTCTTAATAGAAAATATCTTTTGTTAGAGGAGAGAAACTATTTGTTGAAATCACACTATGGTGGGGTAAGAGTATCCTGCACCAATTCAGTTGTCTATGTTTGCTAAAAGGAAAAGGTGTAGAATTCTACAAAATTAGGAGGGAAGAAGGAGGTTGGAAATTAAACCTTTGTTTGAGCTAGTTTTTTATTTTATATACCCTCTGAGTTATTTTAAGGTTCTAATTAGGGAGACTATAGTGGAACTCCCTATCTTGGTGAGCCAAGATAGACCTCTAGACCTTCACCCTAGTAGGGTGCTTTAGTTCTATGTTGTTTGCATTCTCTAAAGAAAAGTTCTTATTAAACAAAGTTTTACTTTGAAACTTAAGAGTGAGGGAAAGTTAATTGTTAGTGTGTTAACTGCTTTTGAGTTTGTGGAAGGGTGGGACTGGGAAAAGATTGTTTCAAAGTTTTTGTTGTAGTTGAGTATAGTTATATAGCCAAACATTGCATATGACTAACAACCTTAAAATTGCATCATGGAATGCGAGAGGATTGAATAATAAAATAAAAATTAGGAGAGCATCTAACTATTGGGCTAAAGAAAAAGTAAATATATTATTTATTCAAGAGACGCATAGTAAAAACAGTAGTGGTAAAGTGCTTAAACACAATTGGTTTGAACATCAATATCAAGCAAATGGGTCGTCGAAGGCAAGGGGAACCGCCATCTTAATATCCAAGAATGTACCTTTTATTTTAGAAACTACAAGGGCAGACCCGAGAGGGAGGTATATGTTTATAAAGGGCAAACTATTTGATGAACCAATTACGTTAGCGTCCATCTACGCCCCCAATTCTGAACAACTTCATTTTATCCAAAATACACTTTCTGAACTAATGGAATTTAAAACAGGTGAAGTGATCCTTGGGGGTGATCTGAACCTAATAGTAAACCCTAAAATAGATAAAACATTTAAATGTAATACAGCTAGTAGGCAGACAAACCCACAAAATTGGAACAGATATTTGAATTTTTTAATCTGTCGGATGTATGGAGATTGCAGAATCCAAACACAAAACAATATACCTTTTATTCATTGAGACACGACACATATTCTCGTATTGATTTTATTTTAGTAACTAAACCTCTGGTACTTCAAATTACAAACTCGGAAATAGGATCCTGCACCTTGTCCAATCATTCATGGGTGGGATGCAAATTGATGAATCAGCAATCAGATGGCAAAGGGCCAGTATGGACCATGAATAGATTACTTCTACAAAATGACATTATTTGTCAGAACTTGTCAGAAGATAACTGAATATTTTAAATTCAATGAAAATTGTGAGGCATCACAGGGTAACATTTGGGAGGCGTTCAAGGCAGTGTTCCGGGGACAAGTTATATCTGAAGCCTCCAACTATAAAAAAGAAAGAAATAGAATAATTAGTGACTTACAAAACAATATTAAAAAATTAGAAAGAAGACATATGACACACGGAGGTAAAAAAACGCTGAAAAAACTAAATCAAGAAAGGAAAAAACTAGAACTACTAGAAACAGATCAAACACAAAAACAGCTAATGATATTGAAACAAAAATATATAACTAAGACACCTAGATCTATAAAGTACTTAAAATATAGAGTTACACAGCGAATGACTTCCTCAATTGTACAATCAATTAAAACAAAAACGGGTCTAATAAAAACCTCAGCGAAAGATATATCTGAGGAATTTAGTGAATTCTATAGAACTTTGTATTAATCAACTAAACCATCTGTTGATGATATTAACAAGTACTTTGAACGTATCAAATACAACAATAGATTAAAGCCCGAACACAAAGACCTCCTAGACCAATCGGTGACTCTGCCAGAAATTTCACAAGCTATATCTAAATTAAAGAATAACAAGACAGCGGGTAGGGACGGAATCCCGGTTGAAGTATACAAAAAAATTTAAACCTATTTTAGAAACTCATTTACAAAAAACTATTAATACAGTACTAGAAAAAGGGGAGATGCCAAAGTCATGGGAGGAAACAAGAATTATAGTAATCCCGAAAAGTGGTAAAGATAAAACTTCACCGGCCTCATATCAGCCTATCTCGATACTCAACCACGACTTCAAAATATTTTCTTCAATTTTAGCCACAAGAATACAAAAGATAATCACGACGTATATACACAAAGGCCAGGCGGGCTTTATGCCCGGGAGAAACATCACCGACAATATTAGAAAGACTTTAAATATAATTAATTTCTGTAAAAATAACAAAATAACCTCGAGTCTTTTATCCAGGGCTCTAGTCGGGGGGGAGCTCTCAGGTACGGAGCTCCGGAAGAGAACCTCTAGGGGGCGGGGCGGTCACGTGGTGAAGCCCCGCCCCCTTCTTTACCCCGCCCTCTGCTTCGATCCTCATTCCGTTTGGGAATGAGGATGAAGCAGGAGGGTAAGTAGCCGGGCCTTCTGACACACTTCCGGTGATGTCAGGGGGTGTGGCCTTCTGTCACTTCCGGTGATGTCAGGGGGCGTGGCATATGCAAATAAGTTATGCTAATGAGTTATGCTAATGAGCTCCGGCAGCTCTTTTTCTACAACAAGACCCCTGCTTTTATCTATTGATGCCGAAAAGGCATTCGACATGGTTGAACCCAATTATTTACTTACCTTATTAAAAAAAATGGATTTTGGGCCTAAATTCTTAAATGGTATAATGGCAATGTATAGAGACCCCAGAGCGCAAATAACAGTGAGCCAATTTAGGACAGACGAGCTTCATCTTAAAAGAGGCACGCGCCAGGGCTGCCCGATGTCACCAATACTCTTTGCGTTGTCTCTTGAACCCTTAGCTTGTGCTATTAGGGAGGATACACGGATTTTCGGAATAGAAATAGGAAAGGAGATCTGCAAAACGAGTCTTTTTGCAGATGACGCAATTTTCTACTTAACCAGCCCACTCATTAGAGCCGCTACTCCAACAAATAAGTAACTTTGGGAAGGTATCCGGTTTTGTAGTTAACATGCAAAAATCTGAACTGTTCCCTATTTTGTTAACTAATACAGTCAAAGACGAAATAATGCAAAAATACCCCTTTAAATGGGTAAAGAACACCTGGAAACACTTAGGAAGTCACTATTCCACTAGACATGACCAAACTTTATGATGCCAACTATAGTGCGATCAATCTGGACTATAGGGAAACACTTAGGAAATGGGGAAAACTAAATCTTACACTGCTGGAAAAAATTGAACTCTATAAAGCTATACTACTACCAAAACTGATTTTTTTTATTTCAAAACCTACCGATACCAGTGTTGAAACAAGATTTTAAGAATTGGAAAGTGGGACTACAAAAATTCTTGTGGAGTGGGAAAAGAGCGAAAATTCAATTTCAAACACTAATAAAACCGGCAAAAAAAGGTGGATTGGGAATTCCTGTGTTAGAGAACTATTTTTATGCAGCGCAATTGAAAAATATTATCTATTATGCTAACCCTGAGTGCTCTAAAACCTGGGTAGCTATAGAAGCATTTTCACTGTGCCCAGAAAACTTGCATGAGGCAATCTGGAAAACAAAGAAAAACATTAAGACGACAAATGATACATACTCATACTTAAAACTTACCTTAGATATTTGGAACAAATTTCGGGGAGTTCTAGCCCCGGGGGTATCTCCGCTGACCTCCATCCTAGGCCAAGAGTGGTTTATGCTGGGGAAACATCCTGGTTCCTTTCTACCTTTAAGAGAGAAAAAAATATATAGATTTAAAGATCTGACACAAAAAGGAAAATTACTTACAGAGCAACAATTGGGCCAAAAGTATAAGATCCAACTAGCATGGTATCAGTACTATCAAATACAAAATTTGTTTATGGAAACATCAAAAACAACTCAGGCTGCGGTCACACGCAACATTAGCCACGCAAGAGATACGGAAGACAGGTGGAGTTTCCGGGCGCGATCTCACCAGCACATCTGGGGAGCGTAGCGCTTCCGTGGCACAACCGAGGCTTCCTCCCGAAAACGCGCAGCAAAAAACTAGTACCTCCGAGGTACTAGTTTCCGGAAACTGCGGGGCAAGGGTGGGCGTCTGATCACGTTTCCGGTGACATCCGGCGCCCGCCCATGTCCCCTTGCGAAGAAGGGGTTTTTTCCCCCCCAAGTCTCCGTGGTTGCGCACATGCACCCAACGAAGCATGCGCATTCGTAGTGTACACAAAAAAAGAAACCCAGTTCGCCGCACCGCGCGCTTCTTCGTTGCGCGCAGGCATGTGTTGTGATCGACGCCTCTCCGTAACCACGGAAGCTCCACGGTACCTCCACAGAACCTCCACAGGAGGTATGATCGCTTTACTGCCCCGGGGCAAACAGCCACGCTTCTCCCCCGCAGTTTCCTGCGCGTGTGACCGGGGCCTCAGCTAGACAGGCCTTTAACTGGTTTTGAGAACATATTAGATAAGGGAAAGCCTTCACAGAAAGGACTAATATCTTTGCTATACAGAAGTATATCGGAGAGTATTTGGTGTAAAAAAACCTCGATTCAAAAGGCTTGGGACAGAGACTGTTCATTGGAACTACCACAAAAGGAATGGGATCGAATATGGAAATCATATCCCTTTACATCCAATAACCTAGATGTTAAATTACAATCATTTAAAATCTATGCAAGGTGGTATCTAACTCCAAGCAAACTATTTCTGAGTAAATGTAAATCCAATCCATCCTGCTGGAAAGGTTGTGGAGCAAAAGGTACGTTTGTTCACTACTGGTGGGGGTGCCCACGGATTAATTTATTTTGGGGGGAAATTATTGGAGAAATTTTTAAAATTACAGGATGTAACCTACCAAATAGTCCGAATTCACTCCTGCTAAATATGTGGCCAGATCTTTCCTTATCTAGACAAAAGACGGAAATACTTACATTATTATTGTTTGCAGCAAAAACATGTATTGCCCAACAATGGAATAAACTAACTGTCCCCACAATTAATACTTGGATTGCAAAGGTATGGGATGTGTTAATTGCGGATAAAATAGCTACTCAAATAAGGACTGAAAGTATTCCAAATAAACAAAATGACTTTGTTGAAAAATGGTATAGTATACTAACATATATCAATGCTGGGAAAAATAAAGCTTATAACACTCTGGAGAAATATCTGAAGTTTGTACTGTATTAAAGGATCCTTTCTTTGTAAATAGTCCATAGATAAACGAACTGCTGTTGTCAAGAATGAAACAGGTAAACAACTATATTTGAAGGCAAGTAATGGTTATGTAATTGTGTACTCAACTTTGAAGTTATGTAAAGAGGTTTTAATTTTGAAAAATGATATTATAATGTTGTATTTTTCAAAACATTTAAATAAAATGTTTTTTTTTAAAAAAAGGCAGCCATCAAGATGGAGCTCAGGTGTGAGAGCTCCTTCCTCCAGATGGAATCAGCTAAAATAGACCCTTTCCATCCATGCCAGGGATTCTTTCTGTATGCCCACCCCTTGTGGTTCAAATAATCATATAGACTCTCACACCTCCAAGTGTCTGTATTAACTTGTATCTGTTACATTCCAACTCAGGTGTGAGCTGGCCATTTCATTGTTCCTGGGCAGGACAGCTATTAATATTTCCAAAGTTTCTGAGCAATGCTTGGGAGCAACTGACTTCCCCCCTCGTGCCTCTCTTTTGCCAAGAAAGAGAAAAACTGGAACATGAACTTGAACTTAAAAATAAATGTGTGTGGGTGTGGGTGTCAAGCCCAAACCCTGAAGTAAGAAGACATTTCTCCATAGGGGTAATTGTGAGGAGCATGAAGTCTTAGATTCTACACTAAATATAATCTTTTGGAAGACATCATGGTAAATCAACAATTTTTGAACCACTCCCAATTCTGACTTGCTTTGTTTACCTTTATAATGCAGGGAAAAAAGAGAAAGAGAAAGCCAGGAAAGTAGATTTTATTCCTCCCTCCCTTTTGTTTTGGGAATTAGTCTGATTATTTTTGAGCAATTTTTCTGGAATTGCAGCTGAACTTCCTATTGGCCCATAGGGAATGGAGAATAACAATTTTTAAATGGTTTGGTAGACGAAGCAATGGCACAATGCCAAGACTAATTTCAACCGTGCAGAGTTGAAGAGGGGGAGAGAAAAAGAATGGGAACCATAAAACCAAATTGAGGAGAGTCAGTGTGGTGTAGTGGCTAGCATGTTCAAAAAAAGCCTGCTAGAGATACTAGTTAAAATTAAAGTACTGGATTGGGAATCAGGAGTCTGGGTTCGAATTCCCACTTACCCATAAAGCTCCCTGAGTGACTATAGGTCTGTCACATTCTCAGCCTAGCCTAACCTACCTTATTATTGTGAGGGAAAAATGGAGGAAGGGAGACTTAGACCGATTTCCCACAAGAAGCTGTGCCACCTTCGCTCTTCTGTTTCCCCGCTTGCATTGGTCAATTTCACACTATTTGCTGAGCGGCCACATTTTGACCTGCAGCTCCCCGCAATTTCCCCCATGTCTTCTCAATCTCAAAAAACAAGTACTGTAAAAAAAATTGCACAGTAACTGTCAGGCCTAACTGCAGATTGATGAAGCATCACGCAAAAAGGATCTGGATACAGTAATTTCTACGAGGTTATATATGAATTTTAATGGTTTGTATTTTAATGGTTTGTATTTTATGACTTTGGGTCTTGTACACTGCCCAGAGCCCAGCATAAGCTGGGAAAGGGCAATTAACAAATAATAATAATAATAATATATATTCTATAATAATAATAATAATAATAATAATAATAATAATAATAATAATAATAATAATAATAAACAACTGACTTCCCTATGGACTTGGAAGCCAAGTAGCCAAATTAAAGATGGCAGCACCTCCATGCTGACCTGGATAGCCCATGCTAGTCCAATCTTGTCTGATCTCAGAAGCTAAACAAGCTCAGCCCTGGTTACTATTTGAATGGGAGATCACCAAGGAATCCTAGGGTTGCTATGCAGATGAAGGCAATGGCAAACCGCATCTGTTAGTCTCTTGCCTTGAAAACCCAATGGGATTGCCAGAAATCAGCTGCAACTTGACAAAGAAAGGAAGGAAGGAAGGAATGAAAGAAAGGTAGAAAGAAAGAAAGGCATGTCATTGTTTCGTAGGGCTTTCATTATCCTTTTCAAGACCGTGATGACTTTGCCTGATGATGGTATTGGAATTCCTGGGTGTGTTGTCACAGTGACTCAAGATTCAGCAAACAATAAGACTTTGTAATAACAGAACTACTTAACTGGGGTAGAAAGTACTATGATCAGTGCTTACAAGACTTCTGCAACTCTCCATTCTCAGGTCTATAACCTCTGATCTGGTGCTGTGTTTCTCAAAATGTTGGTCTGTTCAAGTCTAATGTTTTTGTGATAACTCCCCCCTATTAGTTGGGAGGCCACTGTAATTTTTTAAGTATGAAAAAACCCAAGAAATAATTGAAGGCTAATCAACAGTACAATGAGGCAAATGAAAATTAGGATTGCCAGTTCTCACGGATTAAGCTAAGGTTTCATGGGGATTGTCTTCTTGTCAGGGTCTCCAGGGAAAGGACTTGGGTCTCAACAGGGGTCATTTCCTAGAAAAAGAGCTAGGGGGGTCATTAGCATCTCATTAGCATATGCCACACCCCCTGACATCACCGGAAGTGTGTCATAAGGCCACACCCCCCTGACATCACCGGAAGTGTGTCATTAGGCCACACCCCCTGACATCACCGGAAGTGTGTCATAAGGCCACACCCCCTGACCCCAACGGGAAGTGTGTCATAAGGCCACACCCCCCTGACATCACCGGAAGTGTGTCATAAGGCCACACCCCCTGACATCACCTGAAGTGTGTCATAATGCCACACACCCCGCCCCCAACGGTCCCGGCCGCCGCCGCTGCCGGCCTTGCAGCTCCACTGCTGAGCCCCATGAGGGGCCCGGTGGTGGACCTGCAAGGCCAGCAGGAGTGCGAGGAAGCCCCACGAAGGCCCCCCAGCCCCCAACGGCCTCTGGGTTTAGGTACTCATATGCAGAAACACAGGACTGTGGTTTTTAAATGATATTTTAGCACTTTTGAATGTATAAATAAATTATCTATGATATAATTAATGACTAACTGTGAGTGTGGTCAAGAAAACCCGTTATGGAATTATGATATGAGTAGTTCACCTTAGAGGTACAAAAAGATAAATGACGTAAAGGGTGGACTTCTGGTA